CGACCCCCCTTTCGCTACCGCCCCCGATCGCCCCAGGCACGCCCACCTCCTCTTGGTCCTCTCATCCGCAGCCATCTCCCACTCCAGAGCGAGGCGCGCGAGCAGCGCGCGCACCCCAGTCTCGCGCGCCAGCCGCGCCTCCGCCCCGCGCTCCGGCAGCGTGCATCATGGGATTCCTGGTGGGCCTGGTGGCCCCGGACCAGAGCAAGGCGCGCGGCCATGACTACAGCATCATGGCGGTGAACCCCCTCGGCGTCGTCGTCTCGGGGGCCGCGCTGTCGGACGAGCTCCGGAGTGCCGCCCACAACATCCTGTACACGGTGGTGAACGAGCTGGACAGCGAGGACCTCGTCGAGGTGGTCAACCACGACCACGAAGCAGCCCCGTGCATCGCGGCGGCTTGCTTGGCCGCGGGGGCGAGCGAGGGCCGCGGCCAGCTGGTGATCGTCGACGGCAAGCGGGGCGCGTGGGGAGTGGGCGCGGGGCCGAATATCAAGGTCCAGCGCCGGGCGGCCAAGCTGGCGCTCGCCCTGGCCCAGTTCCAGGGGCAGCCCATGCCGGAGCTCCGCGAGCTCTGCAAGCACAACAGGGGGCTGCTCGACATGATGCGCACAGTGGACGCGGAGGCGGTCGTGGAGCTCACCGACGTGGACGACGCCTCGAGCAGGGGCGAGGGGAGGTCGACCCCAGCCCCGGTCCTCGAGGGGGGAGAGGACGCGGTCACCGCGGCGCTGGCGCGTGCGGCCATCCAGGCTGCAGCGCGGCGCCAGAGCAAAGGCGCTCCAGCGGAGCGCCCGCGGCCCGCGCGGTCCCCAGGCCAAGAGCGCCTCGCCGAAGAGGTCCGCAAGCGCGAGAGGCGCCCTGCGCCCTTGCGCTCGCCCTCGCGCGCGAGGCGCCGCGATCGCGAGGGCGCTGAGCCTCGCGATCGCGGGCGCAGGGGACGGGAGGAGGAGGCCGTCTTGAAACCCAAGACGGGCGGCGCCCCCCCGAAGGCCGACATCGTGAAGCGTGAGGCCGTCCTGAAGCCCAAGAGCGGGGGGGCGCCGCCGCGGTCCTTCGAGGTGAAGACCGAGGTGGAGGAGGCGCCAGGCGCGGGGGACGGCCGCCCCAGCGCCAGCCGCGCTCGAGGAGCCGCCGTAGGCGCAAGGAGGAGCAGCGCCAGGGCGCCCAGCAGCAGCCCAGTGACCAGCACGACGAGGGCGAGTCCATCATCCGCATCGAGCGGGTACCGCACCACGTCGATGCCGAGGTGGTCAGGCAGGTGGTCGTGCCCTTCGGGGTCGTCAAACACATCGCCTTCCTGTACGACCACCGCCACAAGCGGGAGCCGTGCGTGCTGGTGGAGTTCCAGCGCCGCGCTGACGCAAAGCGCGCGCGGGAGTGCATGAGGTCGAACTATCGGTTCTACAAGACGGACCCGTGCACGGTGGTCACGGAGTGGGCGAGCCGACCTCGCGGCCCTGACCCAGGCAGCGACGGGGAGGATGGCCCGACCATCCAGCCGCCTGCCTGCCCGACGTGCGCTCTCAAGATGCGCTGGAGCTCCTTTGACCCGGGAGACGGTTGGGGTTGCGAGATGTGCCCCGCGGGCGGAGCTAACAGCGGAGCCCTGCGGTGGCACTGTAAGGGGTGCGACGTGAGCTACTGCGAGGCTTGCCGCGTCGCCTTCGGCAAACCCAAGACGGTGGTGGAGAAGGCCCGGCGGAGCGGCCACACCGTGCGGGAGGCGCCGGGCCCCAGTGCCGGCCACGGAGAGCGCCCCAGCACGGGTGCCACGGGTGCGGGGGCTGAGGGGGGCCGCCCGCCAGGCGACCTCAGCTGGCCCAAGCGTGAGAGGTCGCCCAGCCGCAACCGGCCCAAGCGCGAGAGGTCGCCCAGCCGCAGTCTGGCGCGGGACCCAGCGTGGGCGCGGCGCGGCGACACCCCTCCCGGCCGCACGCGGCGTAAGACCGGGAAGCACGCTGGGCAGCTTCGCGCTCCTCGCGGCGGCTGGTACGAGCAGGAGAAAAAGCGGCGGCGTGCTGCCGCCGCGGAGGCTGCCGCGGGCGGGGGTGGGATCCCAGCCTGGCGTGGCAAGGGCGCGGGCGACAAGGGCGGCAAGGGCGGCAAGGTCAAGGGCAAGCACTCCGGCAAGGCCGCCAAGGGCTCCAAGAGCGGCGGCAAGGGCGACAAGAGCGGCAAGGGCGGCCACTCCAAGGGCGACCAGGGCAGCCGCGGCCGGAGTGAGCGTGACTGGCCCAGCGCGGACGGTCGCGCGTCGAGGGGCGGCGATGGCGGCAGCCCCCGGGACCCCAGTGAGCGCGGCGGAGACCGCAGCGGAGACGAGAGCCGCGACCGCCGGGGAACACGCCCTCCATCTAGGCGTGGAGCCCCCCCGTACCCCGACGCCAGCGCCCGCGGCATCGCGGGCGCGGGCTGAAGGCGGCGGCCTGTGAGTGAGCCGGCCCTCCTCTCAGCCTACCGTGCGCAGGTGGCGCCTGCGATCCTTTGAGCCTACGGTACGCAGGTGGCGCCTGCGATCTTCTTTCTTTTAGCCTACGGTACGCAGGTGGCGCCTGCGATCCTCTCTCTTTGGAGGAGTTTGAACGTTGCGCGCACGTCGCGTGCTTCCTGGACCCGGCCGCGCCGCGCGTCTTGCGCGCCGTGCGGTCGGGGCCACACTTGCGCTTCGCGCCCGGCGCATCATGCGCCGTTCCCTTTCGGTTCTTTTGCGCGCACCGCGCGCGCGCCGCGCCCGCGCTCTGGGTGCGCGGGGCGCGGAAGGCCTCACGGTTGCAGGCAAGTGGCCGCGCGCGCGAGGCTCTTGCAGCCTCCGGATCCGCCCTCGCACTTGGGCTGGGCGTCCCCGCGCGCGCGGCTGCGTTTACTCTTTTATCATGGCCAAGCGGCCGCAGGCGTGCCAGAGCGCGAGCGCGCGGGCCGTCAGGGCCCACGCGCTCGCGTTGAGCGTGGGCCATCAGGGCCCACGCCCAGGCGGAGATGCGCGTCGCCACGCTGCCATGAAAATACCATCGCCCTGTCCTGGTCCCTCTCTCGTCCCCTCCTCTCCTCCTCTCCCTCCGTTGAGTGCAAGCGTATCTCACTTAACTTGTATAGTCTGATTGGTTGTAGACTGCAGGTTAAGTGGGAGGGGGTGTGGGCTCAGGTAGCCATTTTGGGTCCGTAGCGTTCGGCTCTGGCCGACGCGCGGGTGCCCACCCGCCCCGCTTTGCTCCCAGACGCCTGCGTCGGCCAAGCGGCCGCAGGCGTGCCAGAGCGCGAGCGCGCGGGCCGTCAGGGCCCACGCCCAGGCGGAGATGCGCGTCGCCACGCTGCCATGAAAATACCATCGCCCTGTCCTGGTCCCTCTCTCGTCCCCTCCTCTCCTTCTCTCCCTCCGTTGAGTGCACGCGTATCTCACTTAACCGTAATCGTAATCGTAATCGTAATCGTAATCGTAATCGTAATCGTAATCGTAATAGTAATAGTAATAGTAATAGTAATAGTAATAGTAATAGTAATAGTAATAGTAAAGTAATAGTAATAGTAATAGTAATAGTATCGTAATAGTAATAGTATATATAGTAATAGTAATAGTAATAGTAATAGTAATAGTAATTTAGTAATAGTTAATAGAAAGTAGTACTATAATAGTACTAAAGTAATAGTAGTCGTAATAGTACTAGTCTAGTACTAGTACCAGTACCAGTACCAGTACTAGTCTAGTACTAGTACATAGTACTATTACTCAAGTACTATATAGTACTAGTGTAGTACTAGTACTTCAAGTCTCTGGACTAGTAATAGTAATAGTAATAGTAATAGTAATAGTAATAGTAATAGTAATAGTGATAGTAATAGTAATAGTAATAGTAATAGTAATAGGAATAGAGTAGTAGTTATCGGAATCGTAATAGTAAATATTCACTTATTTAACACGTATTAGTAATCGTAATAGTAATAATACGCTAGTAGTAATAGTAATAGTAATAGTAATAGTAATAGTAATAGTAATAGTAATAGTAAAGTTAATGGTATTAGTTGTGTTTTTTGTTTTTGTGATTTATTAATAGTAACAGTAATTAGTGATAGTAGTTAGTTTTTTAACTATAATTAGTAATTTAGTTATTTTAGTAATAGTAATGAGAATAGTAATAGTAATAGTAATAGAATAGTAATAGTAATAGTAATGGTAATAGTAATAGTAATAGTAATAGTAATAGTAATAGTAATAGTAATAGTAATAGTAATAGTAATAGTAGTAGTAATAGTAATAGTAACAGTAATAGTAATCGTAATAGTAATAGTAATAGTAATAGTAATAGTAATAGTAGTAGTAATAGTAATAGTAATAGTAATAGTAATAGGAATAGGAATAGGAATAGGAATAGGAATAGGAATAGGAATAGGAATCGGAATAGGAATAGGAATAGGAGTAGTAATAGTAATAGTCATAGTAATAGTAATAGTAATCGTAATAGTAATAGTAATAGTATTAGTAATAGTACTAGTAATAGTAATAGTGTGGTTATAATGCTATTGAGGCCCCCGAGAATGCCAAAGGAGGGGTTCCCAGGCGGGGGCGGGAATCTCCCAGAGTGGGGTAACGAGGGGTATAGGGAAACCCTCTACCCGAAGAGGCTTCTCTTATGAAGAGCGGATCCGCTAAACCACCCACGCCTTCAGGGTTGGCGGGGTTTTCACTTCCGAATTGTTAGCAATAGGGAGCTGTTGATCTCAAGTGTCACCTCCCAATGGAAAGATGCTGATGTGATGGTGATGGAATCTTCGGAAATGTCCCAGCGTGTATTCTTGTCTTTCGTACGGCCAGGTCAGGCCGAGCAATTGTTCTAAGGGCGTGCGGAACGAAACCGGATCGGGCAAAGGCGTTCCGCCCTTGGGAGGGAGCGTATGTATCGCGCGGGGCCGGCAGAATATTCTCTCGCTCGTGTGCATTATCCCTCATTATTTTTTCTCTAGTTCCGGCTTCCGTTTCCTCCAGCCGCCCTTCTCGACACCAGGTACGCCTACTGCCAGGAGAACGCCGAGTGGATGACGATCACTTGGATCTGCGCGACCATGATCCAGTCGCACTGGCCAGCCCTGGGGCATCGCCAAATCAGTCCGAGAAGGAGGAGGAGGAGGCTCAGCCGACGTCGCAATGGAAAAGTGTCGAGGGGACAATTTCGACTCAGGGTGTCTAGGAACGCGCTTCAGGAGGTCGGAGATAGGTTCTTCTAGGTAAATCGGGGATGCGACAAACATGATGGCAGCATTCATGGCGGCGTTGATTTTTCCATAGCTGGTGATGACGACGATGACGATGATGGCAACCCGCATGCGCGATTGGTGTGGAAGGTGATAATCGTGACGGTCGCGCCAGCGATTTCAGTGATAGCATACGGCAGCATTGATGATCATGCTGTGTGAATCGCTATGTCAGTGCGGATGCGAATATCGTGGTTGATGACGAACACCATAGCTACGATCATTGCCAGTTGTGACTGGCCTTGGGACCTGTCGCTGACAATTGAAGGTTTTACCAGAAGAGTGGGAGGAGGTGGAGTGAGGAGGGAGAAAGCGTAGATGCAGGGAAAATGGGGGACAGGAAGAGTTGAAGTTGTAGGGTCATTGGGGATCGCGGGTGCAGGGTGGTTGGTTGAGGGTGGATGGGAGGGGAGCGGGGGGGATGGGGGAGGGATCAGAGAGAGGGCGAGCCAAGCGTGGCCACATCCTATCTGTCATCACACCCTTTCTTCTAGGCAATCTTCTCCTGTCGCGTTGATCGAGAGCGTCTGCGGCGACTCACCGCTTTCCACATGCCTTTGTGGAACCAATGCCAGGCGTTTGCGGCCGATCATCGATCTGAACATCGTTCGACTGGTTGAAATTCTCATTCCCCAGTGTGTTGCTGGTTATCGGGGCGATTTAGGGGGCGGGGCACATCGGGTCCAGAGTGAAGTTTTGTCTTGGGGTTCCATCGGGGCACTTTTGGGGCGCTCTTAGGTGTTCTTGGAAGCCTCAGGCCTTCTTGGGTTTTTTTTGCGAAGAGTTGGGGCTCTCTTGAGCCATCTTTTTCGCTTTTGGCCAGAAAGGGGCCCCTCGAGGTCGTACTGTGGGTGCCTTGGGGCTGTCTTGGAGCCCTCTTTGGGCACTCTTGGTGACCTCCTAAGTCATCTTGAGCCCCTTCGGGTGCCCGCATTGGACGTCCTTGGGCCCTCTTGGTCCATCTCGGACCCGTTTTGGGCAATCTTGGGGTTTCATGGTAAGCTCAGCAACTGATGGAACAGCGCCCAGCACGGAGGACACGACCCTCCCGGGAGCTCGAAACTCTGCTTAGGCGGTTCGGGAGCCTTCGAGGCTGCCGCTTCCCGCCGAGGCGCTCCTACCACGTGCGGAGGCTGAGGATGGACCGGGCCGCCTGCGACATCCAGCGCCACATCCGCGGCTTCTTGGTGCGGAACGTGCTGAAGAGACACACCGCAGCGGTCCGCGGCACGGGGCCCGCCGCGCCCGCCCTCCTGCTCCTCCCCCGGGTGCTCCCGACCAGGCCGGCGAGCCGCCTGGGGAGTGGCCGCCGGCTCCCTCCTCCCCTCGGCACCCGCGAGCCGCGCAGCGCGCGGCTCTGGCGCGGCACGCTGGAGCGGGGGAGGAGCGCCAGTCCTCGCCGAGAGCACGTTCTCGCAGGAGTCAGGGGCTCCCAGAGGCCCCCCTGGGCCCGAGCCCAAGGAAGGTCCAGCGGCGGCCGTCAGAGCTGCTCCCCACCAGGAGTCCAGGACCCCCCCGAGTTGAGTTCGGGGGTGGACAGAACCCCCACCCCGACACGTCAATTAGTGAATTGTCCTTTTTTCGGTTCTCGAGAGGGCGCCGCAGCCGTCATTCTCTAGGCTTGCGCGCCCGCCAGGTTCGGGCTCGAGGTCGTTCTCACTAAACCACGTTTTGCTAGAGGGGGGTCTGTCCATCCCCGAGTTTAGTTCGGGGGGGGGGGCCTTTGAGGGGGGCATCGAGAGCCGTTGCCCCGCCCCTCGGGGGTGGGGGGCGCAGTGGGGCTTCTCTTGGAGGGTCCTGGGACAGGACCTCGCGTTTTTGGGGGGGAGGGTCTCTTGGAGGGTCCTGGGACAGGGTCTCTTGGGTCTCGCGTTTTTTCGGGGGGGGAGGGGGATTTTGGTGGAAACCTCTCCTCCCCCCCCCCTCCCCACAGGGCAGGGCACGCTGGTGGGCCAGACTCCCTCCTCCCGGGCCCAGCTCGTCCTGGCGACCGACGGCCCAGCCGTGGCCCCCGCAACTTTGGAAGGGCGGGCGGTCTGCTGGGCAGTGAGCTCCGGCTCCCGACGGCCCCCTCGCCTCTGCTGACCAGCTACAGTCGGGGGCATCGAAGAGGGGGCCGAGGACTATGTGTGTGTGTGTGCGTAAGTGTGCGTATCGAGGCCTCCTAGATTGGGTCGGAGCAGATGGGGTCGGAGGATTTCGCCGCATCGCCGGTGCATCGCCGATGCGGCTCGATGTGGAGCCCGATATGCTTTGCGCCGACGTCGCCGATGTATCGCCGACGTCGGCGATGCATCGCCTGTGCATCGCCGATGTATTGGCGATGCGGCGCGATCCTCCGACCCCATCTACTCGGACCCCATGTAGGAGGCCTCTAGTGTAAATACCATGGGCGTGGCCATAAACTGTCCCATATTTCATGGCTTCCTCCTTATCTTTCGACGCGTCCCCTGCCTCCCCGTCCGCGCGCACGCCAGGGGCCATGATGCGCTAGCCCCCGCTTCCTGGACGCCATCTTCGGCGCACCCGTTTCATTCAAGACGCTGAAACAAGGAGCAGCTCGAGTTCGGAAAAGGTCTCGCCGTTTCCTAAGCCCTTCCATGGCTGTTCCTCCTGTGCTGCTCCCGCACCCAGGGGCTCCTTGGGTCAGGAAGTGTGTTGCTTAGCGGCTCTTATGGCGACACGACGGCTGTCGGCGTGGAGCTTTTGTCTTTTGTTTGTCTGCCGTCCCAGGCTGATGGCTGCCATACCCACGCCTTGCAGAGTAGTCAGCCTAGCCTGGGCGAGAGGAGCGGGTTGACCGAGGAATCTAAGCAGCCTGCGGGTGTCCCACAAGAGCCTCCAGAGGTGGGGACCTCGAGGAATCTGACACTCGGGGAAGGCGCCTAGCCCTCCCAAGGAACACTACGGTAGCTTCCTCGAGACCCTCGCCCAGGTCAGGTACGAACACTGGACGCTCGCACCCCAAGAGGGTAGCCACTGCGACCGCCGCCTTCGGTGTTTGGCAATCCATCTCCTGACGAGCGCGCTGTTTGGGCTGATCGGGATCGTCATCTGGGCTGTCTTTGTACGCCAGTGGGGGGAGGTGACGATCCAGCGGCGAGTCGTGGGCATCCAGACCAGGGCCAAGATCGCCAAGCTGCACGAGCACGCGACCACCATCCAGAGGCGCAGCGCCTTGTATGCCAGGAAGTGCTTACGACATGCAGAGTTGTTTTTATCAAAAGGGGTCAGTGGCACTGCGCTCAGAACTTGAAGTACTTACAAACAAGAGTTTGGTGGAGTCCAGAGTCGGCTCAACACGCTTAGGACGACGATGCGTCTTTGTGGGGGAGAGGGGGGGAGGGGCGCGGCGGTTCCGCTATGCATCTTCAAGAAAGTTTGGGACAATGTTCTACACGTCGTTGCAAATTGATGGGCTTATCCGCTTGCTCTCAAAGTGTATATTTTGTCACTGAACCCTGCTCTTGTCGAGCCTCCCCTTGACAGGACAGTCTTGCTCCCAAATCGACCAATGTATTGATATTCGGAATACTTAGGGTGTTGTGAACAACCTAGGGCCAAGTGGGGTGGCCGACGGACGTCTGCCAGGTTGGCTCCAGCGCGGACGTGCTGAGCTTGCTTTGTTTGACTGAGACTTCCCTGGCCTATCCTCCTCCTCGTCTCGATGTTTTGTGCTACCTTACCTGTAGTGTCAGCACGACTCGAAGCCAATCTCTCGGGGGGGTTGTTCCCCCGGTGTGTTTGTGTGTGTGTGTGTGTGTGTTTGTGTGTGTGTTTTGTTTGCCGTGCTACGCCCTTCCTCCTGATCTTGCGCGTGTCTTCCAGTTGGGGGGAACTTCGCCGCACGGCTTCATTCTCCATCGCCTCGTCTCTCCGGTGTGTGGCCTCCGGCAGAAGCTCCGAAGGCTTGTTCGCGGTGGCCTCGCGCGCCACTACTGCACGGACCTCCGCGCCTTCCAGACGGACGTGGCCACCATCATCCAGAAGCACGTCCGCGCGTACCAGGCAGCGCGCTCCACCCGTTGTTGCAGACGAGCGCCGGTGGGATCGGACGGGGCTGGGACGAGGAGAAGTCCGCTCCAGAGCGTTCCAGAGCACTCTCAGAGCGTTCTGGGAGGCCCCGGGAGGGCCGCGGCGCCCGAGACATTCTCCAGAGCAGCGGGATCTCAGAGATTCTCGATTTGCCCTCTTCCGATGGTATCCTCTTGTTGGCTTCGTCTTCTGGGAGAGAGTGGAAGGAAGCGTATCGGCCGCAGCCCTTCGGCCGACACGCCGCTCGGCTCTCGTCACTTGTGACGAGGGGGGCTGCCCACTGTGGGTGCCCCTGGGCGGAAGGGAAGAGGGGCTTTGCACAGAGGATAGAACAATGACAATACAAACCGGCATGAACAAACACTTTTGGAGGCCCGCGCGGATTTCTCGGATTGGCGCTGTGCCCCATGGCGGCGGCGTCGGGGGCGCCGTGAAAGAGTTCCAACGCCGATCCAAGAGATCCCCGTGGACCTCCGACAGGTTCCCTTCTCTGGAGGAGAGGAAATGATGGTCAGTGGATTGGGCTGTAAATTTACCCTTGCCCCAGTCAGCGGCTCTCTCTCTCTCTGTCTCCTCAATGGGAGGCAAGCTGAAAGCAAGCCGACAACACAATATACGTAGGCATGCCGCGTTCACGCTCAACTCACTCGACCAGCAATATCATTGTAAAGGGTAAGACAGATACATACAGCTACATGCGTCGTAGGCCCATGCGAAGGTGTATCCATGCATGTGCATCTCTCTCTCTCTCTCTCTCCCTCTCTCTCTCTCTCTCTCTTTCACACAATGCATTTGCGTATGTATACATGCATGGCGTAGCTGTTGTGGTATACTTGTATGTCCAAAAAAGGCGAGGCGCATGCTGACCGCAACTTCTTATCAACATGAACTCTCATCGTGAGCATGTCTGAGGTCATAGGGATGCTACAGGCACTTCCAATTGCAAGCCAAGCGGCAAGCTACATCCAAGTGTACGCAGCAATCGAAACATACTTGGCAGCAGTATGACTGCAAGGTAAATCCAGGCTGTATACACATGAATATATGTACAGGTGTGATCGAGTATGTAATCTTGACATTTGAGCTGCAATAGGTAGGTGAAGTACATGCGAACATCAATCGGGTCGTAAGTCAACTGCAGCATGGGTCCAAGCTGGCTGCACCAGGACATGCTCGCGACACGTGAGGTTAAAGCTTTCAGGAGGCTCGGAACGTACAGAAGATATGTCCACATGGCAAGCTGAAGGCAAACTCAAGGCCAGGTGGTGGCAAGCTGGAACCAGGCTGGAAACAGGTGAAATGCGATCGAGAGTAGAACTGAACATGAGCCAACATGTAAGTTGACAGCACGCGACATGGTTCCAACTGGGGGCTCCGATGACCCCGGCGAGGTACGGCGGATGCCTCCAGGCCCTGCTGCGCAGAATGGGCCCGAATCCCTTGGGTAAGGTCTGATGAGAGTTTCGGGCATTTAGAGAACGCACACCTAGACAAGTCGATCGAGAAATTCTGCACGGGTTCACTCGACACTGGTACTGGCAGTGTGCCGGTGCATTCCCCTGTTGGGTTTCGCTGGTCGACGCGGGTTTGATTGGATACTCCCAGTAGTTTCTTGACGTTGATTAGCTATTCCGCCCAGGTGTACTCGCAATGCGGTGACACGCGTACTCGTGGAGTGGCCTGGGCAGCTTTTACTAAGGAGCCTTTTGTCAAACGGAGTTTTGTCGATCATCGAAGTTTTGGGGCGCCCAAGCGGGGTGTGTGGACTAGAGCTGTGTGGGTATCATGGCCGGGCCAATGAAATTCCGCCCCGATATTTTTGCCCTTCTCCCCCTCTTTCAACATGTTCCCTGCCCCCCCTCGTCCGCGCACATGCCTCGGGCCATAGCCCGATGAAGGAAGAACGTGACGGGCAGAGGAGGGAAATAATGAATAGGTCAAACGGTAGGGCGGAGGAGAGATCGATTGGCGATGGTGCTGGGAGCAGAGGAGCGAACGAAGTCGCGGGCTGAGTGCACCGTATGGTGTTCATTGGATGCCACCCTCTCTGTCTTGGCTGTATTCATGAAGGGGTCTTGCGAGGATGCACGCAGATGCACTGACAGGTGGACGATCGTTTATACAATGCCCACGCTGCCTTATCAGACGTCGTTTTTCCTCTTGGCGCTTGGTTTGACCGAGCTGCATCTCTGCAGTCCACTGATCTCTCTCGTGTAATCAATGATGTTGGCACGGTGGAGCATGATCAAGCCAGTCTCCGTGTGCTTGCGAACCAGGCTTCAGGTGATGAGGCACTCCCGACTGGCCGATGCCTATGTGCTGCCAGGCCCGGTGCCGCGTGCTTGCCAAGCGCTCGGAGAAGCAGAAAGCTGACACGCTGCTCAAGGCTACGACCGACCTCCAGCGCATGTTCCGCGGCTGGAAGGGCCTCGCGCCTAACCGCGCCTGCACACTCTGGGAGACAGCAGCGCCCGTCGAGAGTTCTCTTGGGTGCTTCTCTGGAGCCCGTCGGCGGCCTCTCCGCAGTCTCGGGGGCCGCCTGGGCGGCCTTGGATCCGCCTCGGGCCGTCTGGGAGCCGTGCTGCCCTCTGGGAGCCACCTCGGCTGTGTGTTGGGACGTCTTGGGCCAGTCTGCCCTGCCTGGGGGCCGCGGGCCTGCCCCGGGCTGCCTCGGGGCCGTCTCTGGGTGGACCGCCAGGACTATGTCGGGCCTGTCCCCCTGCAGGGGGATTTTCGACGAAACATACAAAATACCCCAAACATATCCCAAAAAGGTAAAAAAAACAAAAAAATAGTCCCTGGATTATTATTGGATTATTTTTTGGTTATTTTTTTGGGCATTTTTTTAGTTTTCGTCGAAAATCCCCCTGTAGGGGGACAGGCCCGACTTAACGACAGGACAGCGTGCCGCGAGGCCCGGGGGCCTCGAGGCCCTCTCGTGCGGATGTCCTGGAGGGGGGACCGCGCCCCGACGCGCGCGTGAGCGTCTGCCCCGCCCCTCCTCGGCGGCCAGCCCAGCCCCGGGGGGGAGGCGAGAGGGCGCGGGGCCTCCTCGGCGGGCGCGGTGGTCTCCGGGCCTTCCGGGAAGTTTTCTATAGGGCTGCCCCGGCGACGCCGAGGAGCTCTCCTCAGAAGGCGCGAGGGGTTTTCAGAAGCCCGCCGCCTTCTGAGAGGGCCTTCTTCTCCTCACTTCCCCCCCTCTCGCTCGCCGCCGACCTCTCTCCCCTCTCGCTCCTCCTCCTCCTCCTCCTCCTCCTCCGCCTCCCCGGCGCCCCGGCCAGAGGGGAGGACGCCGTCTGTCAGGAGAAGGCGATCGGCGATCCGCCCGTTTGAAGCTCGCGCAAGGGCCCTTAGCAGGAGGTCGACGGCGGGTCTGTGTCTCCTCCTCGGCGTCTCGCCGGAAACTCCCTCACCATCCATGGTCCTGAAGCTCGAACCTTTTAGCGGCTGCACGGATGGACAGGTGGCAGGTGGCCTTCACCTCGCCCTGCGTATCTTGCAGCGCTTGCACGATCTGCGGGCGGGTGCTCTCGCCCCATCGCCGCGCACATTCTTATTGAAGATTCGCAGCAGGTTGCACGGATTGAGGAGAATGTAAGGCAACATCCGGCTCTCGGCCCCGACTCTCGCAGAATCTCTTCTCAACCTCGCAACACTTGCACGAATGGAGGAGCGTTCTTTTCAATTTGGGGCTCTTGCTGAGATTTCCTCATGCTTGGTGCCACACGAAGTTTAAACATGTTTGTTAGTTTCACAGCAGGGCGGTTGATTTTCATTGTGGGGTGCATTCTCTCACATTGCCCAGGTGTCGGAAGCTGTCCGAGAGTAACACGGATTGATGGCGGCTCGTTTTCACAACGGGGCTATCTCCTGGCACAACCTGAAATTCCAGGAGGAGGAGGAGGAGGAGGAGGAGGAGGAGGAGGAGGAGGGGGAGAGAGGGAAGGAGGCGGGGGAGGAGGGGGAGGAGGATGAGGATGAGGATGAGGATGAGGATGAGGATGAGGATGAGGATGAGGATGAGGATGATGATGAGGATGATGATGATGATGATGATGATGATGATGATGATGATGATGATGATGATGATGATGATGCTGATGCTGATGCTGATGCTGATGCTGATGCTGATGATGATGATGATGATGATGATGATGATGATGATGATGATGATGCTGATGATGATGATGATGATGATGATGATGATGATGATGATGCTGATGATGATGATGATGAGAGGAGGAGGAGGAGGAGGAGGAGGAGGAGGAGGAGGAGGAGGAGGGGAGGAGGAGGAGGAGGAGGAGGAGGAGGTAGGAGGAGGAGGAAGAGGAGGAGGGGGAGCAGGAGCAGGAGGAGGAGGAGAGGAAGGAGAGGAGGAGGAGGAGGAGGAGGAGCGAGGAGGAGAGGATGGAGGATGGAGGATGGAGGATGGAGGATGGAGGATGGAGGATGGAGGATGGAGGAGGAGGAGGAGGAGGAGGAGGAGGAGGAGGAGGAGGAGGAGCAGGAGCAGGAGGAGGAGGAGGGGGAGGAGGCCTACAGATTTACGTTGATAACAACAGGGATGGACAACCTCTGCTTTTCCGAGCAGGGCTTCTGCCTGAGCGGCAGGCCAACGGGAGGCCGTTGGCCCATCAAGGGGGCGCTCCCGGTAGTGTTAAGTCGGGCCTGTCCCTCTACAGGGGGAATATTCCCAAATAGTCAAACAGTAGTCAGGGGACGAATTTTCGACTACTTTTGTCCATTTGGGGGGATTTTTTTTTTTTCGCCCAAAATCCCCCTGTAGGGGGACACGCAGGGCTTAACGGTAGTGATACGGATTTTTGGCTTGGGATTTGCAAGGAGGGGACCTGGACGGGATGGCGTATCGCAGAACCGTTACTGCATCGCTCTCACTGGTCCTCACACTCCTTCTCGGCCCCCTCCCTCCCTCCCTCCCCCTCCTCCCCTCGTCGTCTCCGTCCACAGCGATGGGCGCGTGCCGTGCGCGGTGGGCAAGGCCACCAGGAGGAGGTGGCGAGGCCCTTCTGCAGCACCAGCTCGGCGCCCAGGGGGCCGAGGAGGACGACTCCCTGCGCGCCTCACCACCCACCAGACTGCCCCCCAACCCAACCCGAAGGCTGCAAGTTGCCCTCCATTTCCAGTGGGGGGGGGATGCCCGGGAACATCGAGGAAGCACATAATGAAGAACCGGTGCTCCCCTTGACCCGAAGCTCGGGTCTTCGGGTTGGGCTGGGGTGGTCTGGTAGGCAGTCCGTGCCAGGCCAGCGATGGAGGCCGTGTGCAGGACCCCGAGTTCCCGCACGCTGGGGCTGCAGCAGCGGCCGCCAGTTTTCCACTGGGCACAGCCCTCGAGGCGGCCCCTGGTGCAGCGGGGGTGACCCCGGGGGCGCCCGCGCTGCCATCGCCAACGGGATCGGCACGGGCGCCGGGACCACTCTGACCCTCATCCTCGTCCTCGGCAGCATCGGCGTCGCCGTCGCGGTCGCCGAGGCGGCAGTCGGGGCTGGTGCCACGGTCGGAGCAGTGCGCGGCAGGCTGGAGGGCCGGGGCTGCGCCGACTCGGGACGGCGCCGCTGCGCGCGCGCGCGCTGCGCGCGGGCGGCGGAGCTCCGGCGGGAGGAGACGCGGCCGCACGAGGCGGCGCCGCGCGCGGCGGCACTCGCGCCTCGGCGCGCGGGGGCGCGGCGCGGCCTCGCGGCGCCCCGCGCCGCCTCGGGGTGCGAGGGGCCCTGCGGCACCGCGGGGGAGGGAGCAGGCGGCCCTCGCGCAGGCGGTCGAGGCCTCTGGCCCGGGGCCTGCGGCGCCCGCCGCGGGGCGGCCCCGCGGGCCCTGCGGTCGCCCCCGCGCTGCCCCGCGGGGCCGCCGAGAGCAGCGGCGCGGCGCCCTGTGCAAGTCGGGCACGCCCCTCTGCAGGGGGAGGAGTCCCAAACTAGGCCACAACATAGTCAGGGGACGGCTCTTTTAGGCAAAATCGCTGGCCTTCACAAAATCCGCCTGCAGGAGGAGCACTGTGCCCGACCTGGCGCTCTGTCCAGCCGCCCGGCGCAGGCAGCCTGCCCAGGGGAGCTGCGCCCGAGCCTGCGTGGCGCTGCCCGGGTGCCGGCTCGTGGCCGGGGAGCTCGGGGGTGACGATCGGGGGGGGGGGGATGCAGTAGGGGTCTTGAAGAAGGAACCCTTTTCGTTGATGTTCCTTACTTGTTTCACAGCTTGCCTCAGGTTTCCCTTATGTTTTCGACAGGAAGTCGAAGTTTAACTTATGGAAAAAAGGGGCCTCGTGCCTTATTTAGGGTTCCTTAGGTCAACCCCGCGACTGTAGGCATATCACCACCGACCAAACCACCCCAACCCAACCCGAAGGCCGCACCTTGCCCTCCATTTCCGGTGGGGGGGGGATGTCGGGGAACACTGAAACACACACTTATGGGCCCCGACCCGAAATTCGGGTCCACGGGTTGGGGTGGTTTGGAAGGTCGTCAGCATAAGGGGGGCACCGACCCCCAAACGCCCATGGATCGCCGATGGGGGCCCCCTACCCCCACCCCGCCCGAGGCAGGTGCGGTTTCGCTATCGGAGCGCCATCGCCGATCCGTCGACGATGCATCGCCAATTCCAGGTCGAGGCGCCCCCCACCATATGCCAGTCCCCCCCCTATCGTTGCCCCTCACAAGCAGACATCCGCATCGGCGGCCTCGCGGGCTGGGCCCCCGTGGGCCCCCCGGCCGCGACCCCCGCGGACACGGGGCGTTTTTCCGCGGACGCCCCGCGCGGAGCGCATCCGTGCGACTGCGCATATCCGCGGCGCCGCGCCCCGGGACCCAGACCATTTGAGGGCGTGGAGGAGGCTACCGCTCGCCGCCCGTGGCCTGCGGGGCCCTGCCTTGGGAGCTGCCCAGGAGCCGCGTGCGAGCTGGGGAGGCGCCGCCGGCCAGCTGCGCGGGCGCCCGCGCCGGCACCTGTCGGGAGCGGCCATCCCGGGGCGCGAGGCGGGCGGGTGCGACCGCAAAAGGCGCTCGCAGAGCTCGCAGAGCGGCTGGCACGTGTGGTGACTTGCCCGCGCGACGAGAGGCAGGAAGGAAGGGGGGGGGGACGAGGAGGGAAACGAGGAGGGAAACGAGGGGGGGGGAGGGAGGGGAACAGGAGGGGGGGAAGGGAGGGGAAGGGGGGGGCAGGGAAGGGGCGGAAGGGAAGGGAAGGGGGGAAGGAGGGGGGGGGCGAGGAGAGGAGGGATGCTTCGGAATCTGAAGTTCCGCCTGACGGCAGAGCGGAAGCCCGACCACGGGCACAGTGTGCGTGCGTGCGTGCGTGCGTGCGTGCGTGCGTGCGTGCGTGCGTGCGTGCGTGCGTGCGTGCGTGCGTGTGTGTGTGTGTGTGTGTGTGTGTGTGTGTGTGTGTGTGTGCGTGCGTGCGTGTGTGTGTGTGTGTGTGTGTGTGTGTGTGGCGCGAACTCGCGCCTGGGAAGGCGAGCGTATCCACTGCGAACCGGGAGGCCAGTATTGCGGCGCTGGAGTCCAAGGCCAACACGGGCGAGGCAGAGGCCGCACCCGTGGCGGATGAGATCGAGGACGCGCGTGGGATGGTGGCCACCTTGGAGGCCCTGGCAGAGAGCACGGCGAAGGCGGCCGAGATCTCTGCCTGACCGGCTCGAAAGACGCAGCGGCGGCTGCAGAGGACGCCAGGGACGCCCAGGCAACCATCGCAAGCAGGCCCCCCTGGCGTTCCTCGCGGCATCTGGCCGAGGGCGCCCAGGGTACAGTGCCGTTTTTAACACATGCTCCGCGTGCGGGTCGTGTATAAAACATGCAGGGATTTAGTATCAAAAACAACGATGAGTTCATGCATAAATTTATTCCTAGATAAATCATGTATTGAAAATCCTATATTTGTTTAAAATCCCATGTATCAAAAACTGCCCTGTATCGCGCAGGCCCCCCTGGCGTTCCTCGCGGCATCTGGCCGAGGGCGCCCAGGGTAAGTGGCACACGACCGCTCTCAGTGGACACACCGAGGCCCTTACTGAAGGCAGCTCGGGTAATTCTCGAGGGGGCCTCCGAGGGCGGCGCTGCCACGCCTGCCCCCGGCAGCGGCGTTTTCCCTGCGCTGGAGGGCCAGGTCTACCTGCTTCCAGAAGCGCCGAGCGGAGGTGCACCGTCGTCCGCGTGATCGGTGGTCGCCACGACGGGATCGAGGTGGTTATGAGGGTTATCTACCTGGACGGGGTCGTGGACGTTGTGCCACTCTTCCCCGGAAGTTGTAGGCTCAATGCGTTGCGCGCGACCAGCCGGATCACCGGCAACCCTCCTTTTCTTACACTCCCTGCTCCCACCTCCCGCGGGCTTGCACGAGAAAGTTTGCAAGAGCTGCAGCAGACATGTCCAAGCGACCCGCCCGAACCTTCCCGGCCTCAGCGTCGTTTTGGCCAGGGGGGAGGTATCTACAATCGGGCGACGAAATCTATGCATGTCCACTGCTCCCTGGCCAGGCCCATCCTTCACCCAGGAAGTGCGTATACGCCCTCCTGGCCGAGCCCGGGGGGCGTGGCGTATACACCGCTGCTGGGTTCAGGATGGGCCTGGCCGGGGAGCAGTGGACACATACAGATTTCGTCGCCCTGTACAAGGCGGGCGGGCGGGGTTGGTGGGAGGGCCGACGCGTCCGGTCGCCTTTCTCGCTTCTTTGTGGCGAGCGTCGGCTTGACGCCTTCTTGCGCCGTGGCGACCGACCTCCTCCCTCTCTTCTTCGTCTCTCCCTGCCCCCTCGTTCGAGACCTCCCAGGTGGTGTCGGAGCAGATGGGGTCGGAGGATCGTGCCGCGTCGGCGATGCATCGGCGACGCGGCTCAATGTGAGGCTCAACTTTCTCCACGCCGATGTCGCCGATGCATCGCTGACGTCGCCAGTGCATCGCCGATGCAACGCCGATGCAACGCCGATGCATCGCCGATGTATCGGCGATGCGCCCCATCCTCCGACCCCATCTACTCGGACCCCATCGGAGGCCTCTACTCCCCCGCCCCATTCTGTAGCAAGCTTCGGCTCAATCTACCAGGCACGATGAGGCTTAGGCCGGCGCTCAAAGGCCGCGGGCCGCGACTGCACACACGGGCAAGGCTTCCTCACGCAAGAAATACCTGGACCTCTGACTCCTCGTCTCGTGGGATCT